CCAGCCGTAGTGGCCGGACAGCGGCGGCGGTGGCTACTGTTTGCAGCGGAAACGGAGCTCCCAAGATCGGGAGCTCTGATACCAACTTGAAAAGGAGAATAATTTTATTATTATTATTCATACATATTACATTTTCCTTATACCTATTTGTAACAATCTAATCTTCTAAAATAAGGAAATAAGGAAAAATATTCTGAAAAATATCCTAGAAGATTCTATAGATATTTTCTCTAATTAGGAAGATATTTCCTCTAATTACAACAATAACTATGATTGTAATCAATAGTTGGTCATGGACCAAGGACACACCCAACACTCATAGAAAATGCATAATATGGAGTTTCTTGAAGTGCATCTTAAGAATCGTTGTTGTATCTCTCTAACCATGTTTGTTAGCAATAGTGATGGAAGCTAGGAGGAGGATAAAGCTTGAATCCTTCTCCTTAGGTCTCCACGGATCCACTAGGCTTCCTTTGAGGTTTGGAACTTCAAGATGAATGAATGATGATGCTGGAATGAGGATGAATTGAGATGGAGTAGAAGGAAGAGGCGTGAGAATCTCCTTAGTGAAGGAGAAGCAAGATTAGGTTTCCTAGTCCCACAAGAAAGGTTTCCTTGTGGAGAATGCTTAAGGAGGAGTTTTCTCCTTGATGACTCTTGAGAGAGAGAAGAGAGGTTTCTGAATATGAAGTCTCATAAATGCTCAAAACTATCTACAAAATGAGAGGGAAAGGGTTTAAATAATAGAATGAGAGAAAGGCTAGAAATGGAGGAAAAAAATGATTTGAATTTGAAATTCACATTTCAAATTCAAATCACATGACCGGTGGCTCCTTCATGTCATGCCCTTCTTCACATTCAAATCCGAATTTGAATGTGATTTAAGGTTCATTTGCATCTAATTTAGTCATGCATGGAAGGCATGACTCAAATTAGGTGTAAATGAATTCTAAATTACATTTGACTTCAAATTAAAACCTTTTAACCTAAAGACTCCTACACTAAGAGTGACATATGTATACAATCACTTTTAAAATAAAAATACAAACAAAACAAGTCCAATATTGACCATATAAAGTCCAAAGCCCATGGATCCCACAAATAGGCCCATTTCGGCTACTAGGCTAAAAACCCTAATCTAGGTGCCCAAAATACAAGTCTAAAAATATACAAACACTTTACATGATTTATATACATAAAGTGATCCTCAAGTGTGCCTCAAGTTAAGGCCCAACTGAACAGAAGCTTGGGCCCACCAACCTCTGAACTGGACCACTTAGCATGCATCCTCCTAGCCATAGCTCTAGTCGTGGGTCGCTTGGCTTGGCCTTTTCCATCAAATAGGTTCCTTAATTACAGCTATAAATGTTAACCTTAGAAAAACCATAGTTAAGAAAAGAGGGCTGAATTGGTCAGTTTGACCTATTGGATTGGGAATTGATAACCTTGCTAGTCCAGTCAAAAGTATAAAAACCCCATAACAAAAAAGGCAAAAGCCTGGTGAATTGGCTGCGAAATGAAATGGATGACCAGTTCACTTTAAACAACTTTTAGCTCCATTCTTTTCTGAACTAAAGCAAGAGGTTCATGTAGACTATGTGGGCCATTAGAGAAAGAGAGGAAGAAAAGTATGCATTTTAAGGGCCTCCTCTTGGCTTTTATGATTACTATTGATTGGAAGCTGTCTTGTTTCTTTGAATGTGGGACTTCAGCTTGATGTGTACTATTATGTGCTGAATACATTATCATATTGTGAAATATAAATATATTGCTAGAAATGGGTATTGCTATGTCTAGATTCAATGTGAATGTCTAGGTTCAGTGCATCAAGTAAATATCATGATTGTAGGAACCTTTGTACTTGTTACATCATTTTATATATATGGAGTTTGTGTAGTTGAAATGCATGGTTTTCAGCATATCCTTCTGCTCTCTTTTTTAATATATGTTGTATTCTGGCTCAAATTTTTGTAGGCAGTTGTCGATGACAATTATGGAGGAACTTTGTTTTTACCATCATAGTAGCACTAAAATGTGATGTGCTGGTTTAACTGTATAAGTCAACGAGGTCGGATCCAATTCAGCAGTTGCTATTCACAAGTGATGTGCTGCAGAGTATGTCTAACTTTAATGTGATAGCTAAACATTTTCTGCAGTATATGTGCATATTTTTATGAATATTGTATTTCTAATCAGTTAATTAGACGTTCATCTAATTGATAAATCTGAAATTTTACGGCCCTTAGTTTGCCTTTTACTTTCTGTTCAAAATGTATGAATTGTTCTTCTTCTGTCTACTATTGATTTTACAAGACCTTTTCATTAACATTAGTAATTAGTCATTACTTGTACCTCTATGTGGCTGAGCATTACTTTAGCAATATGACTTGTACAACTCCTTTGGTGTTTATTCAATCCCTTTTCTTGTCTTGCACCATGCCCCCTGTCTTGGTTTTTGATCATAATTTAGGTCTCTACAGATATAATGTATATTGAATTAATTACGTAGTTAAATCAAAGCCTGTTGGCGTTGGCACATTGATCTGATATTTTGTTTTATGATATTTATAGGTTTATGTCCATTGCACAACAACCGAACAACTTACCTCTTTATTCTTTGTATTTTTATAACAGGCAGGTATTTCCATTTGCAGTATGTTAGGTGTCTTTAATCATTTCTATGGTAAAATTAATGGTTGCTTTTGTCAAACTCAGAAAAAGGGCAGGCCAATAATTCTTGTATAGTATTTAATTCAAGCTGATTTTCAGCCCAATAAATAGCTAGACTACTATTTATACACTATCCTATAGCTGGGTGTCATAATTATGGAGGGATTATAAGTTTCAAAAACAGTCACAAAGTGAGAGCTGTATAATACAATCGCTTAGATTATTCTTGATTTGAATTTCCAGCTATCCTAGGTGTGATTGTGTGAATATTATAACAGAGCAGTTTATTACAACTGTCTCTTAGGTAGTTAAAAAACAGTTAATTAGAATATTGTTAGTCTGTTATTAGGTTTGTGGTATATTTAGTTGTCATATGTTGCATTTCTATTCAGAAATTCAATTCACAGAAACTTTCATTGTATGTTCTCTCTCTCTGATACTATTAACATGGTATCAAATTGCTTGAAGATCCACAAATGGCCGGTTCCATTATTCAGTCGTCCTCTGTGCCTGTATCTTTCAAGCACACAATCTCTGTCTAGTTAGATGAACATGAAACCAATTTTCTTTTGTGGCGTCAGCAGGTTGAATCTGTCATTAGAGTCCATAGTCTTCAATCTTTCACCATTTGTCCCAACATCCCACTGTGGTTTCTGAGCAAATCTGATCATGATAAAGGGATTGTCAGTCCTGAATATCCTGTTTGGGAGCAACAGTACCAGATGTGATGTCCTGGATTCAATCCTCTCTTTCAACTTCCATTCTTTCTCTTGTTCTTGGAAGTGTGCATGCCTATCAATTCTAGGACAAGATCAATGACTTCTTGCACAAACAGACACGTGCACGTATTCACCAACTACCAAACTGAACTTTGTGCAACTGTTCTTGATGAAAAACCATGGCTGAATTCTTGCTTCATGTAAATCTCTAATTGATGCCCTTGCATCTGTCTGTTGGTGATCAGGTTCCCCTTCAAGAACACATTGATGTGATTCTTGAGGGTCTTCCACAGGACTACAGTCCTGTAATCTCTGTGATACTATTAACACTAGGCTGTGAATTTTGTTGGTTTTAATGACAAGCAGGGATTTAAATAGCACACTATATGGTGTAGTGGTGCACAGAGTGGTCCCTACCCACTACGGGGCCTTCCATATCGGTTTTGTGTAGTAGCTGGACAGTCCAAATAGCAGGCTGAATAGTAACCATAATGGGCGCTGTAGCGGTGCTATGTGTTGACTCCAAAAAAATCCCTCTGAAATCTATAGAAATTCCAAGAATTTGAATTACTATTATTTCAATTTTCATCACTTTTTAAATGTGTTGTTTGGACAAATAAATTCAATTTTTTATATATTTTAAATTCTTAGTCTGAATAAGACAAATTGATTTCTACCATAGATAAAATATATTTTAAACAAATATATAATATATATATGTATATTGAAATTTTATAAAACTAAATATTAGGCAATTTTTAAATATATAATAATTTTAAAAATTAATATTAGATAATATTCAATTATTTTAAAAATGTTTTTGAATATTCAATAATTAAAAAAATCATTGATAGTTTTTATGTTGTTGAAAGAAATGAGAGATAGGAGGAAAAAGGGAAAGAAAAATTTCAAATTCTTATATTTTTGGGAGAATTTAAAATTTATATTTTTAAAGAATTTTACACATGCTTGAATTTTAAATTTTTTGTAAATTTTCTATTCAAACAAAGAATTTCACTCTAAACCATTTGAAATTCTTAAAAAAAAAAAATGGATTTTTCCATTAAAATCTCTTATCTAAACACACTCTAAGGCTTTCTTCAAGAGCTATTTTTAGTATTTTATTTCCAAAAATGAAATCTATAGATGTAATGTTGTAAATAAAAATATCTTAGGAGATTTGATATTATTTTAGGAGATTTGATATGATCTTTTCTTATTTCTTTTATATTTATTATTTTCATAGTTACTTGTTTTAGGGACAAATGTATCTCTATAATGGGATAAGAGAAGAATGTAACAAGTATGAAACAAGTTAATAAAGATCCTCTCTTTCAACTTGTTATAATAATGAAAATAATAAAGAAGACTTGGATTTAGAAGATGATGATGGTTGTTGATTCTTGTAAAGGAAACTTGTATTTGACTTTTGTTGGTATTTACTTGTAGGTTTTGTTCAAGACATTAGACATCTATGACTTTTTATTGTTGATTAAGAATGTCATTAGTTGTGAATAATTTTTTTTTTTATCATTTTTGAGAATTTATATATATATATATATATATATATATATGTATGTATGTATGTATATGTATATAGTATTACATAATATAAAAAAATTCAAAATAGCATCTACCCTGCTATACGCTATCTCGTTATAGCGTTTTTGGTGTTGGCCGCTATCTGGGAGCTATCCAGGATTTAAAACATTTGATGACCAGACAATTTCTCATCAACTCCATTGACAACTGCTTTTTTGTTCTATTCTTTTTTACAAGCATATGCTCCTGATATTTTATTATTAGATCTATTCTAGCATGCTGTAAGCAATATATAACTTTATCATCATTATTCTCTCACCAACTCTTTGTAATGCCATCTCTTTTGCTTCTCTTCATCTCTTACAATAACAATTGAAATTTTGCTTGGGCTGCAATAAACTTGCGTAACTATTGGATCAGAAATTATTGTTGCAGTTGCGGCTGGGAAGGGTAGATTTGGTCATCTTGGAGAACCATAATGAGAAAATTAATTGAGAAGCTGATTCTATAATTCACTGCTGCCTGCTTTGCTACAAGAAAGAGGTTTTTTCAGCACAATCCAAGTAGGTAATTTGGTTTGGTGTGATATATAGATTTTTTTAATCTTTATAATCTGCATATAACTTGGGTAGAGGAGGGAGAGATGATTCGTTAGCTGGATGTTTTCTGGTTTTTTATATATGCACTCATCTTTTACAAGTATGGCTGAAATTGTATATTTATCTAGCCCTCTCTCGTATGACTTTTGGGATATTTATCTCGTATGAAATAAATTACTTGGTCTTCGTTCACTTAAGGGGATATGAATTTTGTAGATATTTCTAGATATGCTGCAAGAATCAACTGTGGGTTGTTTCGAATCCTACGTAATGTATCCTATAATGTCTTAATGTTGCACCTATACATGTGTCCAATACCGAAAAACCATTATTGTGTCCTTCATCATCAATAATTTTTAACATATTTGGGTTATCTTTGGACATGGACAGGATGCAACAGTGAAATGGAAGAACTATAGCTCACTAGACTATCAAAAGGCAGAAGATTAATTAATTTCTGCTAGTAAGGCACATGGGGATTGGGGACCATACTTTTTTGGGTCTAATTGGACGTAACTTGATGGCGACCACTAGGCATTGACACCGAAGTCCAAATACCAGACTTAGAAGAGTAAATACACCTCTTTTCGGATTGAAGTGTGGAACAAAGAGATAGGGAGGAAAAAAGAAAAGGCAAATGGAGAATTTGGTAGATGTAATAAATCTTGTGATGGAAAAAAGGAAGAGAGAAATACAAAGAAAATGGATTAAAAATAAGGTGGAAGAGAGAGTGAATATATTTATAAATACTCTCTACATTGCATCAGGTTGGAGGCCCTGTGAAGCGGAGAAATTTGACCCAACAATTTCATTCTCCCAAATAAGGTAGATACGAATTTGTTTATTAATTTTTTGCTTCAAAGAATTGTTTATGTCAGTCAAGATCATTGAGAGATGGCTGACTTTTGAGCTAGTACCCGTGCTTGACTGTATAGTTCGGCCCAGTAAAGATAGTGGCATGCCAAGTACCACCTCCATGTTTCTTATTCACCGCAAGAAATAAAATAATTATATTATTGCTGTTGTTATTAGCATAATTCATTATATTCTTTTAAATATGTAAATATTTTTAATAATATGACTTATTTTAAAATTGATAATATAATAATAAAACAGGATTTACGAAGAAAATTCAATTAGTTTAATTTTTGGCACATGCTATTTTCCTATTAGTAAAATACTTAAAAACTTTTTTGCAATAATTATTATTTTTTAAAGAAAAAGGATTTAACATGATAGTAATTCTTGGTTTGGGACCCCAATATTTGAGTAATGTTGCTTTCCCTAGTACAATAGAATTCCTTTTTTATTCCATTTAGCGTGGGATTAATTGAAACATGATTGTTTGAATTAACTTAGTAATCTCAAGTTCGTAACTATCTTAAATATTTTAAAAAATTATAGTGATTCTATCTGATTTAAACATGGTTGTCCAGCGTGCCAGATACATTCAATCTAGATAACTTTATATATATATAAAATTAGTTTTTTAAGACTGTCATCTCAAAATATATAAACCGTTTGAAAAATGGTAGCACGAAAACTTCATATGTCCATATCATTAGGAAAAAATAAATAAAAACATTAAATATAATAAATAAAAATATAAGCTTACCTTAAACGAAGACAAATAAAATATGATAAGTATATTAAATATATACGTTTATATATATTCATTTGAATCACTAGAATCAATATAATGATTGATGAAGGAGTTGGGATAATATGTACATAGTTTTAAATTTAAATTTTGGTGTGTTATTATAATTTCAAGAAAAGTTGTGTTTCTAGTAACTTTTTTCTAAAAAAGTAAACATAACCGGTCTAAGCATTGTATTTAAATACTATTAGTTAGATTAAGAAAAGAATAATTCATATAATTTTAAAAATATTTTATAATTCATCATATTATTTTATTTTATTTTAATAAGTATAATATTAAAAATACATGTACATTGCTGAGAATGTATCGAAAAAAGTGAAATTTAATATAAACCACGTATAGTCTCATATTGAATATTTAGATTGATTAAATTTGATGTATATACATATGAAACACAGTATGAAAGGAAGAGACAGTAAGTAGGAAAAAAGAAATGATATATTTTAAGTTGGTCGAACATATAGTTGTCTGGTCGGTATCCTTTTCCCAGATTTGGTAGATATGTGTAAAGCTAAAATGATACGAAATGTTGGAAGTCAAGATACGGAAGGTAAACAATTTCTGCATGGCTTCTGAATATAATGAGAAATTACTTTGTACTTTCGTACCATTATCATCATATTCATATTCATATTTATATTCATATTCGTGTGTATCTGTGGGTTGGTTTTGTGATCTGTGTGACGAGATGAGCAACCTCGCAAGTCGCAACGCTTAGATCGACACGTTCAGTTTACCACAGTCACTCAGAATGACCTTTAATCCCAAATAGACACATTTAATATTTACTACTTTTTTCGTTAACATCAACCCTTGAAAGTGATTTTTAATAATTAAATAAATTCAGAAACAATGCAGTATAATCTAAAAAATGTAAATGAATATTTTTTTCATTAAATGTATTGATGTTAATAAAATCTTAATATTACTTGTGTAATTACTAAATGAATTCAGAGAAGATTGAAATTAGTGAAATAGATGAGTCTCCTACAAAATGATAGAACCACTTGAATTCATGTAGAAAAATCTTTTGTAATATGTAGCCTTCTCTAAGTTCAAGTAAAAAAGTATTTCGAAGCTGAACTAGAAATTAATTTTAATTAAATAAAATACTAAAATTTATTAAGTTAACTAAAATAAGTAACGTCAAAGAAAGAACTTGTTAGCTCAGGTTTGAAGTCTCAATCCACCAACTTGTTTAGTCTACACACAGGTACATTCTTGTTCAGACTGATTGACTTATTCCTAATATTTATAATGTACAAGCCATAAATTCTTCAACAGTCAATAACCCGTGTTCAACGTTCATTATGTTTCCATTATCTTTATTTTCAATACCAATATTCATACACATGTATAATATATTTACTCTTTTCTAACCTCGCTTATTTTATTTTTATATCAAATCACATCTCTCGCTCTTTTTCTTTTTATTTCCTACACGCTAAAAATAGTGTACCAATAAGTCAATAACATTATTCTTTTATCTTTTTGTCATACTTTTTGCCAGAGTCTGACTTCAAGGCTTGAGACTAAAAAATAGTATTTATTTTTTGGCATTCAAACTTCAGATTCAAAGCACGGAAATAATAACCTTCCAACTCCGCCACCAGCCACAACAAAAGTCAAGAACAAATATGCCTTAATTTCTTCAATCTTTTAATTAATTAAACCCCTCACACGATACTATTATATATAAGATTCCTGATCATGCTCCATAGCCCATACCATACCAAACTATCCTGTGTTTTGGTGCATCGATCGATCAATCAATCTTGTTGCTAGAGACACAAGATAAAGACAATATGAAGAGGGGTTATTCTATTGCAGTGGCATGTTATGTGATCATATTTTTGGTCTTGTTCTCGTACTCCATGAAGGTTGAGGGAGTGAGAACGTTGAAAGATGAATCTTCTCCATCCTTCATAACTCTAATAATCAACCGGGCATATTCTGGACCAAGCCACAGAGGACGAGGTCATTGAACAAAGGTTGCTTCAATGTAGTACATGCAATGTAATTTATTTTTTGTATACTGTTCAATATGTAAAAAAGAAAAAATAAATGGTACAATACAAGCTTATCAAAACAGTACTAATTCTATTGAATCTGTTGAATATATGCTTTTGGAATTGTAGAATTTGGTCTCTTTTTTATTACTTCAGTTTGTTGAATAGTTGCTCCTTCGATTTCTTACTTTATATTTATTTCCAATGGTATAAATAAACATTGATAAACTACTAGATTTATATTGATTCCAAGTAGTATAATCAAAGAAATATTGATAAATTTACTAGTTTATATTGATTTCAAGTAGTATAAATAAATGCAAACTGGATGATGAACAAAAGTGAATTCGTTTAAATATTCTACCTTCAAATCTCTGTCTCTTTGGTTTTCAGATTTTTCTATTTAAAAACCAACAGAATTAACTTGTCTTTCGTTTTATGTTGATGAGTCCAAACTCCAAATACACCAAAGGGTGAAACAAATTATTTTGTTTGTACGTTTACTCACATGGATGAGATGATTGTAAAATTATGCACTATTCAACACTTGTGAAGGTGTCAAATAAGGCAAAATGCCTTTCAAGAGCAAAATAACACCAGTTCAAGGTGCTGCAAAGGAAATCTGTTTTTATTGTCCAACTCCAAAAAATACATGCGAATGTCGTCATCTTTTGAAGTCTCTACAACTAGTACTTTAATCGGGGAAACAAATCCGTTATTTGGCATCTAGAGTCCATTATCTGCAAATCAGAAATAAGTTTCGGACCCTCCTGCTTAATTTTATTTTTTTTAGAGATATTCATGCAATATCCTAAACATTATTTTACAACTTAATTATTTTATTTACTTAGTAATAACTTAACTATTTAAACATTGCACAAAATCTCTGGACAGAACTCATAAATTGAATGTGTTTATAGAACTTAAAACAAAATAATCACATAATTTGACAACATTAACTAGCTTTACTTTTGTTGCGGTGCCGGTGAGTGAATCAAATCCGAGTAGAACATGATTTTTCAATTTTGAAAAAGAAATTAATACATTCCTTGAAAACTATTGATTTTTAATTTATTTTTATCCAAGATTTTTTACAAATTTCAAGTCTCATTATTTTTTCCTTCCAAATATAACTTTTATTTAACAATCATGTCGAACACCGCGCCTACTCTTATAATAAATATTAAAGGAGAGTATTCTAGATTAACTACATTAATTTATAAATAATACTAAATATTTGTAAAGTTGCATGTATTAACTTTAAATGTTAATACCTTTGTAATAGAAATAGTAGGAAAAAAAATATACTCTCTTGTTTCAAATATAAGAAGAAAAATCGCGTTTTATGAAAAAGTTAACATCATTTAATTTTATCAATTTCACTTAAAAAAAACTTATTTTTCTAAATTATTATTTATTAGAACATATATCAGTAATAATAAAATATCATAAAAAATTTATAATTTATGATAATATGTGAAATTAGATGAATTTATTTATATTAAAACCACTATACATGATATTTTTTTTATAATATTCTGAAGAGAGTAATAAACCTCTGCTATGTTATCTTGGAGCCAATCAAACATGAATTGGTCTCTGTCATGCCTATAAAAGCTGTAGAGCGCCCACAGTAGTACAAAAGTCATCCAAAACAACAATGGCTGAATATCTTAAGCCTCTCTTGTACTTGGTACTAACTCTAGCAGCTGTCTATGGCTGCATGTGTCCAACAATGCTGGATCCACCATTGGTGCCATGCTCTTTGACAAGATCAATGGCAACAACTAGCATTGTTAGAATAATGTAATAAATGTACCAGCTGACTACATGCATGCTTTAGATGCTGCGGTCCTTACATCACCGCTAATTTCATGATGTGCGGATCAATTGTTCTTTCAATAAAAATAAGTTATAAAATGTTTCCAACTATTACAGTGATGAAGTTCACAATACTCGTATCACTTTTTCCATATGGATTCTTAAAGTTATATCCCTCTATCGAATGGAAAATTAGATCTTGATTGACTATCCTAATACTGCTCACTGATTAGGATTAATATATGATGGTCACTATTGGAAAAAAACCAAGCCCACATTGACTAGAGATTAGGCAATTGAATAATATATAAGTGGAAAGTAACCTCACTCTATAAGCCGATTTTATAGGGTTGAGTTAGGCTTAAATCCACTATTCTAAGATGGTATCAGAGTCATCTAGATCCACTTTAAATGGGCCACCCACCATTGATGCATGTGCCATAGGCATGAGGAGGTGTATTGGAAAAAACTCAAGTCCCGCCAATCTTAAATTATTATAAAGGGTCACCTACCATTTATCCACGTACCAAGCCCAATAGTACTGGACGTGAGGGGATGTATTGGAAAAAACCCAAGTCCCACATCGACTAGAGATTAGACAATTAAATAGTATATAAGTGGAAAACAACCCTCACCTTACAAGCCAGTTTTGTAGGTTGAGTTAGGCTTAAATCCACTATTCTAAGATATCGACTAGAGATTAGACAATTGAATAGTATATAAGTGGAAAACAACCCTCACCTTATAAGCCGGTTTTGTAGGGTTGAATTAGGCTTAAATTTACTATTCTAAGATGGTATCAAAGCCATTTAGATTCACTTTAAATGAGTCACCCACCATTGATGCATGCGCCATAGGCATGAGGGGGTGTATTGGGGAAAACCCAAGTCCCGCCAATCCTAAATCATTAAAAAGGGTCACCCACCAATAGTGCTGGACGTGAGAGGGTGTATTGAGAAAAATCCAAGTCCCACATCGACCAAAGATTAGACAATTAAATAGTATATAAGTGGAAAATAACCCTCACCTTACAAGCCAGTTTTGTAGTGTTGAGTTAGGCTTAAATCCACTATTCTAAGATATCGACTAGAGATTAGGCAATTGAATAGTATATAAGTGGAAAACAACCCTCACCTTATAAGTTGGTTTTGTAGAGTTGAGTTAGGTTTAAATTCACTATTCTAAGATGGTATCAAAGCCATTTAGATCTACTTTAAATGGGTCACCCACCATTGATGCATACATCATAGGCATGAGGGGGTGTATTGGGAAAAACCCAAGTCCCGCCAATCCTAAATTATTAAAAAGGGCTAATAGTATTGGATGTAAGGGGGTGTATTAGAAAAAAACCAAGTCCCACGTTGACTAGAGATTAGACAATTAAATAGTATATAAGTGGAAAATAACCCTCACTTTATAAGCCAGTTTTGTATGTTTGAGTTAAGCTTAAATCTACTATTATAAGAGTCAGACATCATATGAGCCATTTTCTTCTCTGGCTGTATTAGAGGGTCAAGCAAGCACTTGGGTAATTGGGAATATGTAGCCTCCTGAAGGATTGAACCCAAAATCGTTACACCCCAAGTCTGACGGAACTAGGTCAGTGCCAATGCAACTACAAGCTCCTGGCATTCCTTATCAACTTTTTCCGCACGGACGGCTCTCCTCAATCATGGTGATGTTCTACCAAACTGGTGCAAAGCTTGCCGACTAATGCATTTCAAAACAAGTCTTTTTAAAAGATAATAATACTGAATAATGAGTATAATTTTATAATACAAATAAGATCTTACATCGATAAAATAAAAGGAAAAACATAACAATTTATAAAATATCCACATACTCTAATAAATGAGAGAATTTTTAGAAAATGATTAAAAACAAAACCATGAAATAAACCCTAAACTTTTACGAGTAGTAAGGGTGGGCAATAAATATGACAATCAGTGATTATTGAGTATAAAACAACACTCGTAGAAGAAACATAATAACTATCTATACATATGTTGGCAGGAAACTGAAAGTCTGAAACAGTTAACTAGTGGTTGTGGTACACCCTCAACCAAAATCTTCAGGAGAGCTAATATTGACGATCACAGTACCCGACTTAGCAAAACCTTGTGTAGACTAGAATTGCCGAATAGCTGAAACAATTTCGGCAATGCCTTCAAACTTTCTTCTATCTTTGAGAAGCATCTTAGCCAAATTAAGTGCCTTCCGTTCACAGGTAGCCCGTTTAGCAGCATCGGTAATGGATTCAAAATCCTCAACATGAGCCACACCAACGATTCTCCTGTCAAACAAGGAATTGAAAGTGAATCCTTATCCATGCTACCTAAACACGATCTACATAAGTTCAAGATCAATTTGAAATAATTTAAAGGTTATATGGCCTCTCTGATCTGTAGTATCACCTTGTTTTGTTTTCGTTTCAGTTTTTTGTTAAATTATGTGAGAGAAGAAAAGTGTCACCTTATCATTTTGGCAGCACCAAATCCAAGACTGTCATGAAACAAATCTGACATGTATCTCCTCTGCGCCAGAAGCAGGACCTCAGGATCGTTATAAATTGCCGGAAGATATGCCTCACCAGCACCATTTCTGTGTTCATCCCAAAGTGCAATGAATTTTTCGTAAAAAAGATTCCAAGTGTCTTCAATTGTCTGAAGAATCCACTCCTTGTATGCCTGAAAAACATCGTATTCTTTTGGCTTCAGACAAAAATATCACTCTTTTCCCATTTAATCAGTAACCTCCAACAATTAATAAGAATGGCTAATCTCATTATGCCACTCATCCTGTATTCCAAAGCAGTAATTCGACTAAAAGATAAAACCAAGTCAATTGAAGATGGAGATAGAACAATATAATACTAGTTAAAACTGACAGCAGAGTAAGTCCCCCAAGTTTTTTCTTGTTACTGGTATCGGATAAAGACAGCTATACTTCCAAACAAATCATCTCAAATGCTTTGTTTGGTTTGAAAAGGAAAATAGAAAGAAGTTAAGAAGGTAAATGGATAGAAAGAAAAATTGGGGAAAAAATACATTTTATTGTTTAACGTGGGAGAAATAAGTGAAAAAAAAGAAAAAGAAGATATTGAATAGACAATTATGTCCCTGTTAGTGTTAACCATAATTAGTTATAAATGGAGGTTAAGATATTTTAAAAAATGATATAAAACTTTTGTGATTCTGTCGTCAAATGAGAGAAGAAAATAAAAATTGGCGGATATATCCCTTTGTTTGGTTATTTCATATTTCTTTCAAATCAGATATAAAGAGAATGTATACTTTTCTCTTATTTCATCTTAACCAGTGTAAAGTATGGTGGTTGGTTTCTCAACCCACATGGTACAAATTTGTTACTTTTATATACTCATTGAGAGCAGCATCTCTTGGAGAGATGCATTGGATAAAAAAGGCACCGGTTATTTGATAGAAGTTGGATTGTGAAACAAGCAAAACTGTTGAATAGAAAATAGACAATAAAGAAAAAAAGGATGATAGAGGATAATAAAATTGGACGTACTTTTCGATCATTAGATTGATCCAGAAGCCCGTCCTGAGCAAAGAAAGCCAAGATGAGGTTCCCCAAGAATGCACCAATGTCAAAACCCATTGGTCCATAAAATGCAAATTCTGGATCAATGATTTGGGTTGATTGAGGAGTAACCATGACAGAACTAGTATGTAGATCTCCATGTATCAGTGCCTGGGCCCTCTCAGAGAAGCTGGAGGAATAAAAATTGTTGTAAGTAAAGCATAGAGCAGAGAGTGTAAATATAATGTGGGAGGCAATGATAAGAGTACATAGATTTGAGGTGAGCAACTTCAAGTTTGAGGAGATTGTCTTGAAGAAGAGCCTCGGCATCAGGATCAAGATAAGGAGAGGACCAATGATTGTATTGAGAAACTTGAAAAGGGTCGGAGAAAACAACCTGCTGGGTGTGCCTGCACATGGCGGCATTCCCACAAAATTTGGCAACTGCAGTGGCAATGAATAGATTACTAATAGTAATAGTACTAGTAGTTAAAGTATAAAGGTAAGCGATATTATTAATTAATTTACCTTCCCTTTTGTGGTCTAGTGTGGAGCGGAAGAGGAGAGAAGTAAAGAAGAGAGTGTTGGCCATGAAATGTGCCATGTGGGGTGCGAGGAGTGGATACTGAATTCCAGCAATGAGGCCTTTTCGGAGTATGATGTGGGGAGGTTCCAGGTAGCGCATGGCGATTAAGGACATGGTAAGGTCGAAATGATAAACTTGTGGGACATGGTTTGGGGCCAGGCGACCCTGCTCCTCCAGCGCCGTGGCCTCAAAGTATGCTCTGTCCTTTGTCAGAGGCCACGATTCCCCTATGCAACGAATGTAGGGCAGAGCCTAAACGCAACCTTGCTTAGTTATACTACTAATCAAGTATTAATAAGATGACAGTGACATGATATCCAACTCACTCACCTGCTTGATGATAATGGAAGCCTTAGACGCAGAGTTGACGACGATGAACACAAAGTTGAGGTTACCATCTCCGATCTCTTTGACGGTTATGTTATGATCAGCATCAGCATCAGCCTCAGCCTCAGCCTCAGCCAGCTGCAGCTTCGACGCCAGGGCAGGGACGCCCTTTACGTACTCTATCACCGACCTCTCGTCCAGTCTACGGAACTCTGAAAACGCCATAACTATTATCTGATTCTAACCACTTACAAAGAAACTATTATGCTATCAAGTCTACTGTATTTGCTAGGTTCATTGAACCTGCATACGCCATACCGCACCATTTCAATTTGATTTTCACCACCTAGCACCATCTCATCACTCATGCTCTTTCACGACTTTTCAACTGTCAATCCATACTATGAATATTCCCACTAATTATTTCTATCTTTTCTTCTATACTAATTTATATGTTTTTTTATTTTTTATGCTTTTACATATCATTAAGACTTTACACATTTTTTTATTATAAATAATTTATATATTAAATATTATTTAGTCTAATAATTAAATGAAAAAAATTAAAATAATTAGAAATATGAGAACTTTAGTTCAATCTTTATTATGAATTATCTTTATATTTTTTTTTATCTTTACTAAAATATTTTTTTATGATAATTATATATAAAAAACACGCATATGTAAATGTTAAATGTTTATTGTAGTACTAGATTATTTTTAATTATTAATAATTTATTTTAAAATATTAAAATTTAATTAATAAATAATTATATAAATAAAAATTAAATTAAATAAGAAGTCAAAAATTTTATAAAAAATTTTACATAAAAAAATCTCTAAAAATACTCACACATAAAATAAAAATTTATATTTAATATATAAAAATATAATGATATTACAACATCACAATTTTGATTTTGACTAACCGGCATCTAATCACTCATTCCGACTTTTCAACTATGAATTAGTGTTATGCTAAAATCATTCCAAATGTCATTCTAAAGCATCTCCACACTAATTATTTCTTATCCTTTCTTCTATACTAATTTATATGTATTTTTATGCTTTTTTCATATCATAAAAAGCTCACACATTTTTTTTACTATTTTATTAGCTTACTATAATATACACGCTAAATATTTATTATATAACTAAAATTCATAATATTTAAATATAAATAAGTATTATGTTTAAATATATAAATTATAATTAAAATTTGTATAAATAAATATTTTTAAATATTAAAGTTATATTTTAAATTTAAAATAAATAATTTATATTGTAATATGATATTTTATTTATTAATAATTATTTAAAAATATTAAAATTTAATTAATAAACAATCATGTAAATAAATACTAAATTAAATAAAAAAAAGTTAAAAATAATAATAATAATTCTCATAAAAAAATCTTAAAAATATTTTTACATGATATAAAAATTTATATTTAATATATAAGAATACTATGACATTATCACAGTTTGATTTTGACTAGCTAACGCCTCAAGAACACATGTTATTCCAACTTTGAATCTATGCTATGCTAAAATCATCCAAATGTCCTTCTCAAGCATCTTTCCACTAATTATTTATCATCTTTTCTTCTATACTGATTTATATGTATTTTTATGTTTTTGCATATCATAAAGAGTTTACATTTTAAATATTTATTATATGTAACTAAAAATTATGATGATTTATTTATAAGTTAATAAATATATAAATTATAATTAAAATTTGTATAAATAAATATTTTTAAATATATAAATTATATTATAATACAACATTTTTATTTATTAATAATTATTTTTAAAATATAAAATTTAATTAATAAATAATTATGTAATTAAAAATTGAATTAGATAAGAAGTTTAAAAAGTTCCTAAAAAAAATTTCATCAAAGAAAAGTCCATAAAAATACTCTCATACAAGATAGAGATTTGTATTTAGTATATAAAGATTGATTGATTTTTATAACTATTTAAACTTGTAGGCGGACAAAAATGATTATGAATTTGATCTAAATTAATGTTCTTCGTGATGTTGATTCTATATATGCTACAACCATTAAAATCCTACTCTCGTTAGCATGCCTATTCAAAGGAATTCCTTAGGAGTTAGGTGAAATTTCCTCAATGAATTTGACCTTCAATTCAGTACCTAAAGTCTTAGGTTAAACATGGTGTTTTGTTTAAAGATCCTAACATACCATTAATTTACTATCTAAGTAGTCATCAAGTGTTTTTTGCTATTTATCATTTTTTATTAATAAAAAAAGTTCACTCACTAATTATATATAAACCACTTTTATATAACATTCATAAAAAAATATTAATGACATTTATTTTGATATTTTCTTCATATACTTTCCTTGTTATTAGTTAAAAATCATACATATTGATAACTCACTCTATTATATATGGAGTTGTGACTTATCCGAAATTAAAAATCACACATCCTAACTTTTTCTCTACCACTAAAGTATAATAGTATTAATAAATCATAATTATAACAAAGTTAATAAAAAAAATGTATAGTTATTTATTATTTGTAACATAATCTTTGAATTCTTGTCATAAATAAAATCTAAGTGATTTTAAGTTATATTTTAAATAAGAATTATTAATATTTTTAATTTTATACAACATGTGTAAATATTAATTAAATAAAACTATAATTTTTTACTTGAAAAATATTCATTTTTAAGTAACTATAAGTATTTAAGAGTGTGTGTTTATTATCTTTAATTCATACACAATATAAAAAAGTGTATCTAAATATATCTAATAAATATTTTTTATTTTTATATATTCAATTCGTCACGTTAAATTGAAAATAAGATGTGTTTTATTTATAAGAACACCGACAAATTTGGAACCATAGCAATGAAGTTTTGGTCAGCTGAACAGAGTCAGTGAGATACTACTATCTAATAATTAAGAACCTAATCCCATCGTTATAAACTAATCCAATATATATATATATATACCTTCCCTCCGGTATTTTGAATTTTATATACAGAGGAATATTAGAATGGGGGGAGATATTATTATTGTCTTAGGTTCCATGATTTAACTCTTAATTTAATTAGCAATAATAAAAAGGTTTAATCAACTTTTGCTTTTTCAGAGTGGTTTAGTTAACATTTTAATCTTTACAATAATATTCATCTTTTCCTTACAAAATAATCCTTTGTAAATAAGAGGTAAAATAGAGAGAGAAAAAAACAGGGATGATAAAACAAGATAGAAATAAAATGAAAAAAATAATGTTAGGATAAGTAAAAATAGAACGAAGAAAGTAAGAAAAATAAAATTCACGTATTTGAATGAATAAAAAGGTGAATGAAGTGAAATAAATTGGTTATATAAAATGTTTTTTATTCTTTTTTGAATCTAATGTTGTTTTTGACATAAATTTAGTTATTATTTCAAATATATATATATATATATATATATATATATTAATTATGAAATGTATTTTCACTACTATCTTCAATAAGTTGATAAATTAAAAAAAGAGGCATATATAGTAATTGAGCACGACTGGGATATTATATATTTTGGCATTAAATTGGAAGGGAGGGTGAGTTGAGAGAAGCAGCATTGGCGTAGTTTTTCAGAATTTGTAGGCTTCTCTTGCTGAGTTGATCGACAAATGCGTCCATATTGCGGTGAGAAGAACCAGCTGGTTGCGCAACTGCGGCTTCTGCTGCGGCCTTAAAGTTGAGGGCATTCTGCTTCATGGGGCCAAGAGTTGCCTCGAACAAACAGCGCATCACCTCATCCCTCTTGATCAATTCATTAGCAGCCTCACCCCAGCACATCCTAACACCCACTTGGAACACATCCACCAAGTACTTTGCATTGGTGACTTGGTCCCCCCACTGCGGGAACGCCACAAGGGGAACACCAAAGGTGAGTGCCTCCACGGACGAGTTCCACCCACAGTGAGTGAGAAAGCATGAGATGGAGGGGTGACCAAGAACTTGCTCCTGCCGGCACCACTGCACCACTTTCCCCTTGTTCCCAGCCTTCTCGAGAAACCCATGCGGAACCACGTGGGCCTCTTTTCCGCTGTGTTTCTGAGGCGGCTTCATCACCCACAGGAAACAAAGCCCCGACTCCAGAAGGCCGTGCGCGATCTCATCCACTTGCTCCTGCTTCAAGTGCACCACGCTGCCGAAGGATACGTACACCACGCTAGAGGCTTCCTTTGAGTCAAGCCACTTGATCATGCACTCGGACTCCCCGTGCACGCTCTCTGATGCCTTGAACAAGGGCCCCACCGTTTTAATAGGAACATGACAAATCTTTGACATGTAGTCCAGCACGTCAGCCTCCAGCTCCTGGAACGTGTCCATGAGAATGCACGAGGTTTTTTCCAAGTTGGACAACTGTTGGAGGATTGCCCTTCCGAGGAAGGGTTCGGGAGTGGAGGGATGGAGGAAGGTGGGGACTTGGTGGTGTGTGAGCAAGGGCATGCAGGGAAGCTGAACGTCGAGATGGGGCTGGGCTTGGGAGGGGAAAGGGATGAGTTTGTGGTGGTAGTGATAGTATGCGGAAAAGGAAGCACAGGATTGAACCCAGAGCATGGCGGAAGGGAGGGAGAGGGATTCCGCCACGTCAGTTACCCATGGAATGAAAGGGTTGTTGATGAGGCAGGCGACGGGAGGGCCTTTTTGGGCGTGGCGGCGGATCATGGAAGGGAGGGCTTGCTTCCCCGCCTTCTCCAGTTGGGGGAGGTATTGCTCCAAATCTTGCCGCCTTGGGTCGTCGTCGCTCCACCCGTCTTCGAAGCATTCGAACCTTAGGAACCCCTCCCCGACTGCCTCCTCCGAGATATCGCTGCCTTCTCTCATCTGCTTTCCCCATGTTTGGGGTGTGCAGAAGGTCACCAGCAAACCTTTTGAGGCCAGCCACTTGCCAAGCCTCAGAAGAGGATTCACGTGCCCTTGTCCTGGGAACGACACAAGCAACACATGCACAACATCATTTCCCATATTACCTATTCGATATTCGATATTCGATATTCCATATATTTCAACCACTCAATACAATCTCCTTTATTTATACTTCAATATTCTGAATGGCATGTACATGCAGACTGTTAGCTACTACTGGCTTCCCAACTTGATCTATCAGTGCACTGAAAAGTCAAGTACTGGCAAGTCGGTTATCTTCAAAATTGAAAGACACAAAAAATACTAGTAGTTGACGTTACATTCAATCAGGGAACAACAACACTTATACGTAATCAATTTCTAGGCATAATGATGTATATGAACATCTAAATCAACCATTTCAACACATATTAGTAGAATTATTGTTGTTTTTATTTTATTTTTTCTCTAAAGTATTTTTTTATAAAATATATATTATTATTTTATTTAATACAGTGTAAAAATAATTAAATCAAATTATACTATTTTAATAAGTAAATTTTTTCTTCATCATTTTGTTTATTATATAGCTGACTTCAAATTTATCTTTAAGTTTAATTAATTTCAAGGAGAATAGGATTGAATTTAAAGATTATTGTCTCTTCAAAAACATATATAAATTAATCATAATGTAATTTCATTAATGCTTTTTAAATATTTTATTTTACATATTAGGTTTAAAAATTGTACTCTTATGTGCTTCATTTTTTCATAATTTATTAGAATGTTATTAGAGTGTGTATCCTATAACTAAATTATAAAATAATTTGTGTTAACATTTTACCAAAAAAATTTTTAAAAAAAAATGATATTATCATCACCTCTATGGATTATATTGAGAGACATAAAAATTATATTGAGTGATATATGAAAGAGAAGAGAAAAAAATATTTACAATGGCTATGTATTGAAAGTATAACAAATAAAAAAAAATTGGAAGAAGAAAAAGACATTTATTTTCATAGTTTCACTTGAAAAGTATTAACCTCTGTATAATAATAATAAAATGTAATAAATTGTGAAATTAGAAAAATATGTCACATATAAGCAAAAATGCTAATGTAAAAGAACTTGTAATCTCTAAAAATCTAAGATGACAACATCATAACTCACAATTTAATCTTTATATTATAAATAAGAAGAAGAAAAAAGAAAGATAAAATTAAAAATTAAAAAAATAAAAAGAAAGATAAAATAATGACTAATGTGTTATATTGATAGAGACATAACAAAATTATTGAAAGTATTATATATCAGTGATATATGAAAAGGAAAAAAGAAAAAATATTGACAAATATAAATAAAAAAAGAAAAGAAAAGAAAAATATAGATTAACAAAATATCAAGAGAATCTCTTATTTATTTGACGACCTAATTATTTCAAACACTTTCTTGACACTTCATTTTTTTTCTTCTATTTTTTCTATTTATCACATTATATACCTATTAATCTATAATGTTTCTTATCATTTTTTTTTTCTTTTTTCAGGTGTAATTTAGTATTTGGAGCTGTCCAATTTTAATTTTCCTATTTAAATTAAACCATGGTTGAGATTTCTTTCTTTTCTCTTTCCTTGTCCAATTTTCTTTTTCCTAGGTATTTAATTTTAAACCATGGTTGATAATTTTTTTCTTTTCTCTTTTCAACTGTACCCTGTTTTTCTCCCTCGGTGCCGCCTCCAGCCTCTGCTGAATTTCGGAGCGGTAAGAGAGACAAAAGCATTACAACGTAAGCTTAAAATATTGGCTAAAAAAATATCATAAATAAGAAAAACAATACTAGCTAGCCGTTAGTCACTATAACTCAACATTATGCAACAAGCAACCACGTGCAAAGGGACCCAAAAACGATTCAATCAAAACACATGAAAATTGTGATCTCTGATTTTGCTTCAAAATCTGCAACTCTTATTCCGCTCAAAAGAGTTTGCAATATCTAGGGATTTTTGCAGTACCTTTATGCTAACAATTTTCTCATATTTTACTACACCATCAGCACTTTTTGTAATATCCGGGAATTTTGGATTCTATTAACGAGATATAATGCATATATGACAGTAATTAGCGTTTGAATTCTTGTGTCTGGTACTTGTAGTGGTAGAGAAGACTTGAATATTGTCTTGGTGAACCAAATCCGTATTTGATGTTGAGAGGCTTGGACAAATATGCTCAAAACACTCCCTTCTGTAGGCCTCACTAACCAAACTAAGCTAGAAACCAGGGGATTACACATGCATGAGTCAAAGGTTAGGTATATGCGTGTGTAACAAAGTACTATATATCTTAATTAATTATCATATTCATGGGTCAAGAAGATCACAGTATAGTATAGTGATCGAATAGTGCCGAAAGAAACTTTCTTGTTATATTGCATTAATCTTTACGAAACAGAGTCAATAATCAAATAGATTGAGTCAGCGACGCCAAGTATTGATAAATGAATTGGGGCAATATTGTAATTTGGGCCACGATGAAATTGAAAGGGCTTATTTTATTGTGAGGTTGAGAGTTGAGATGGCGGCAGACGCAGGGCAGGCGCAGGAGGCATGTTTGGAGCGTTGAGGAGTGGTGAGTTGTTGAACAAATGGCTGACTCTGCCTCCCGTTACAAGCACTGCGACTATGGAGGTGAAGGCGAAGGTGAAGGCGAAGGCGATGGCGTTGGCGTTGGCGTTGGGGAAAGAAAATCAAATCTCCTCCACTCCCACCACTGCTCTCAAATGGGTTGTTCGCTGCTGCCCAAACCTGCCCAGAGCCCTTGTGCACAAGCTTTTCCGTCTAAGACAAGTTCGAATTCTCTCTCCTTCTTCTCACTCTCACCATCCAACATTCAAAAGGGTATTCCCCATTCTCCAATTTCTTCCTTCTTTTCCTATCATTTCATTTCTTCTAACTCCATTCATGATTCATGAAGGTCGCAGCTAAGGACACCTTGAACACTGGTGATCGGATCTTACTTCCTCAATCCGTTAAACAAACGCCTACCCACAAACATCACTCTCATCTCACTTCCCAACAAATCAACTTTATTCGCACTCTTGTTATCTATAAGGTTTTCAACTTACTCTCCCTTCTTCTTTTTCTTTTAATGCCTATCTCATTTTCATCCTATCTATCTTATTCTGAATATTATGTCATGCCATCAAAACTAGGATCCTGCAATCCTCGTTCTCAACAAGCCTCCGGGAATGCCAGTGCAGGTATATCATGTCCCCGTTCTTACTCTTCACTCATTCATTCCTAACCTCAATTATATCTCTCTCTAATTAGGGTGGCATTAATATCAAACGGAGTTTAGATGTAGTGGCTGCTTCGAGTTTAAATTATGAATACTCTGAACCCCCTCGTCTGGTAAGCTCATTTTTTAGTTTCTCATATCACTATCTCTGTAATTGCAATGCCTTCTCTACTACGAAGCTGCGTACAATATGATTTGATTGTTTCTTCGATATTTAAAGCGTCAACTAGATATTAGGTTGATACTTGAACAACATTGTCTATTAGGTGCATAGACTTGACAGAGACTGTTCTGGCATTCTGGTCATGGGAAGGACACAGGCAAGTGCTACACTCCTGCATTCCATCTTCCGGGAGAAAACTTCCAGGGCGTTAAATGATGTGAGTCATAATTCTTCTTTTTCATCAAATGCCTCACGCACCGTATAATGTTCACTGCATTGCTCTATTATGGTCACAATCTCAATTTGTTACATCCATTTCATTATTTTTCCTGATTTCGTGCCGTTTTATTGGAAATAGATTGGAAAAGAGAAGAGAATCCTACAAAGAAAGTACTGGGCTCTGGTCCTTGGATGTCCTAGACGTCCAAAGGGGTTGGTCACTGCTTCACTGGGTAAGGTTGTATCCATATCAGCACTTGTTAACTATTTACCCTGACAACTATAATCTATAATAGCTCATAACCTAAATTAGCTTCCTGAATTAACGTAAATGGACTCTGATTTGAGGTGTTATAGAAAGCTCCTCATTTATTGCAAAATACTGTTGTAAACTCGCAGTCCTTTATTTGATTTCAGGTGGTGGTTGACAATGGGAGATCTGATCGAATAACTATTGTTGACAATTCTACAATAATGTCATCACAACATGCAATTACAGAGTACCGAGTGATTGCATCATCATCTCAAGGTTTGTAATTGAACTTGCTTTAAATTCAAAGAATGTTAAGAATGAAGTTTCATGATTTTCCCCATGTTGCATTTGTGTGTGTGATGTTTTTAACTTATTTGGACCCTAGTTTCAACTCAACCATTCTCATTCACACTTATTGTTAATAAGATGGGTCATTAAATATCATTAGTGATCTAGAAGCAATAATTGAAACCACTCATTATAAAATTATTGCAATGTCAAAAAAATGCATGCTTCCAAACTATGGTAGTTTACAAAACGTTTTATTAAATAATATAGTTCAACATTTTCACATGATACTGGAAAAGCAGAGTTGCAGACAAAAAGGGCTAATAGCTACATATCAAGCATAATTTTGATTTAATTTCATGTTTGGGAAATCAATTTTACAGTCTGCCAAAAAAAGCACAAGTAATTGTGCCTGTTGGAGAATGTCTGAGCTTGTTTACCAATATTTGAGCCTACATTGTATAGAAAATTTGTGAAGTGTCTTTTTCTCCCTCTTTGGCATGACTTTTCCTGCAAAGTTCTTATTTGGCAATCCTCTACTTATGCCATATCAAATAGTGCAGGTTATACATGGTTGGAGCTGTCTCCTTTAACTGGTAGAAAACACCAGGTAACAAAAACTGGGGGAAGAATCATAATGAGCTGATCTTGGCTTCACAACTTAAAATGTTAAATCATTTCATATTGCCTTACTATAATTTCTATTCTAACTGTGTACTGGTGCCGCAGCTTCGGGTCCACTGTGCCGAGGTGTTAGGTACACCAATAGTTGGGGACTACAAGTATGGATGGCAAGCTCACAGGAAGTGGGGACATTTTGATTTGTCTAATGTGGACGACTCACGTGAAGAAGAGCTTCTCAAGGAAGAAACACTCCCCTTTGGCCTTAATTTGAAGAAAGGGAGCATCTCTGAGAATCATCCTCGTTTACATCTTCATTGCAAGCAGATAGTCTTGCCCAATATATCTCAAGCTCTGCAAAATGTGCAATCAGCTTCCAATTGTGATCTTTCACTAGTGGAAGGACTTGAATTGGCCGCGGATTTGCCTCCATACATGCAAAGAAGTTGGGATGTCACAAATTGAGTTAATGGTTTATATGTCACAGGACAGCCTATCTAATTCACTTGATTTCATCGAGGCAATTTCTTTCGGTCGGGTTTTCTCAGAATTCCCTTGATGCCACACTTCAAGAGCCGGATTGGCATTTGCATTTTTCCTGACTTTTTGCTGTGCTACTCTGCATGATTAGGCTAATTGAATTCAGATCAGTTGATTCACAGGGATTCAGAAACAGTGAAACTGAGAATCATCGCCGCCAATTCATGAATGAAATTGTACTGGTAATTATTACTAGTTACTAAAGGCTAAATTGAAGTCCCTTCAATGTTGTTGTATGCATCACAACGTTGAGTAGCTATTAAAAAGCATCCTCGATAATCCAGTTTTGGCGCTTGCCGAGTGTCCGTCGGATTTAATTTGTTTGATTTGTACGTGAAAGATTAAATTTGTATTTAATCTCTAAACAATTTTAGTAGGGTGACACAAATAATTAAGTCTCTTTGTTTCAACTAGTTAGAATTAGATCAAATTTGATTTTTTTTCATATTTTATATTTTTTTTATGTAGATTTACTTTTCATAATTTTACTAAAAAATTTCAAAAATATTGGTGTTTGACTTTGGTTTTGTGTGGAGTATAAGTAGTCTTTTATTTATTTACGGAATTTACTTCCTTTAACACTATTTTGATTAGTTTTGGTAATTGGTTATTTGAGTAATGTTATTTGAGTTATTGGTCATTTAATATTTATAATTTCATTTATTCAATTTCTCGTTTTATGGAATAAGTATGCTTGTAATTAAGCTTCGTTAAGCTTGTAAAGTTGTGATATTCAGAACATGTTGAGACAAAATATATAATGGTTATTATTTTGATTCATTACATGTATTTTATCAAACTTATTGTTTTAATTTACTTCAAATTATTTCAATAATCTCATTTATTTCTATATTTTTTAATTTTGTAAAAACATAACGTAAATTGTTAAAGTAGATTACTAATATTAAATTATTGTACTAGATAATATCAATATGGAATTTTTTAAGCAAATTATCAATTTAATCTTTAAAATTACACTTTGTTATCATATTAGTTTAAAATAAGGAAAATTTATTTAAGTTTTTAAACTTTTTGTGATTCATTTAACACCTTAAAATTAACCACTTTTTTTTCCTTACCTAAACTTGTGTTGTTATTATCACATAAGTTTTTGGTGTAGGAATAAAAAAATTAAAAAAATTCTTGGCCTTGGGTCCCATATTTTCTAGACACGTCCTTGGTGGATTATTAATGTTGGTTCTAGATATTGTTTAGTGGTTATGATAAGATGTTGCAAATTCTCAAATGTTGTATAACCGTAAAAAAATGAGTTTGAAAATAAATAAAAGAAAAAAATTGTTGCACTAGTTAGAATCAACAACTTCTGGGACACAAAACAATAATAGGGAAAGTAACTAGACAATACACATAGAGGACATGACATCCAACTTCACTGCCTCAAGTATGAAAGTCGGTGCCTTATGTCAAACCACGTACTCTACTGAACTAGAGGCTCCCTAGTTTGCCAAGGCATGAGCCACCTTATTTATCTCTCGAGGAATCCACCTAAGAGAAATTTGCTAATGTCGTGATAATAATTCTTTTAGGATTCAAATAATGTCTGTATAATCCTTTCGCCTCTCAATTCTATCCAAGGAGGAGGGAAAGACTATATTATCCTCTAAACCACAAAATCAAAAGCTCACAATAAGCAAGTTAGCAAGATTACAAATTATTGAACCAATGAATTCAACTATCAAAATTAGATAATCCCAATCTTTAAATATGTATATACAAATTATTGAACCAATTAATTCAACTAATGGTAAATATTTGATTTGATCGGATACTGGTAATACTTAATTTATTAAATTGAGTACGAGAATAGAGATGAATATATACATACTTATACTTACTTTAAATTTTTAGGTATTTAATTGTTTTAAAAATTTATTTAATACTTATATAATTTTTACTCTATTTATGTAATTTATAATTATTATTCTATGTTGAATTTTTTATTTTTTATATTTATCTGTCTCGTTCTGTTATCATCCTTCGTTACATACCTCAATCCCCAATTTCACTTTTCAAATAAACACTAAACTCTTCATTTTAATTTTGCTCATACAATCCTTTGTTTCATTGAAAATATCTTGCAATGGTGACAAGAGATCAAGACAACAATGATGAGTTTGCGAGTAGTTTCAGGTTTTTAATTTGTGTATTCTAAGTTTTGTCTTTTATTTTAATAGATTTAAAGTGTCAAAAAGAATTTGTAACGTCTTAGAATTATTAAAAGGTGTATACTTATTTGGGAGATATTTAAAGTAATGACAATCAATAATTGAGGGTTTAGGATTTGTCAATAACTTTCTAAAAGTGACTTCGATGAAAAAATAAGGGGATAAAATTTGTAAAAACAATGTGGCAATACTAAAAGTGATTTTTGTGAAAAAAAAAATGAATAACTAAAAATACAATTTACAAAAAAGTACACGTGACTATCACATTAGACTCTTAATAACTTGATTGCCAATATGCCTACCATGTTATCATTTAATGGTAATACTTGACAACAAATATCAAAATGTGAACAAGGCAAAAGTTTAAAAACTAAGATCAATCAGATTTTTTGTTTAGGAGCTAAAAATAAAATTTTAAAAAAATAATTAAAAATTAAAAAGATGTTAATAATTACTCATATTGTATTAACTAATTTCATGCTTTTTTCATGGCCTCTTCAAAATTTGACATATTATAAAAATATTAAGGCAAACAATTTGTTTTTATGTTATTTTTTCTTTTAAAAATAAAGGTTCTATTTCTTTGAGGATGAATAATGAACGATTATATGAGTTAATTCTAATTTTTATTTGACCCAATTTTTTGATTTGACTATTTTTCTAATCCAAAATTAACCAAATTAAAATATAAAATATTTAAAACAATACTAAGTCAACCCTACTTTCTTTCTAACGTAATATCAATATTAACATTATATATAGTTAAATCATAAAATAAATAAGTATATAACTTAGACTAAGATATATTTTATAATATATATTTCAAAATAAATAATATAGTTATAAATAAAATATCATCTATTAAATAGAAAATCATTATTAATATACAATAAAACAGTTAATTTTTTTAAGAGAATATAAAACATCAAAACAAGTTGGAATAACATGCATACACAACCCAAATTTATCCTCAAAATACACTGTATTTAAATTTAAGATTTGAACCTATTAAAATCAACTTTTAGTTGATTGATTTAATGAGTGAGGTTGAATGAATCCTACCAATTAAGTATAGATTTTTGTAAATATCTTATTAAAAAATACTTCATTCAACTCAACGTGTCTTTAAAAATTACAAAGAAAAGTAAAATAAAATTGAAAAAAAAGCCAAACATTACTCGAACCCAAATTTGAAATTCTAGAACATGATTTTATTTTTATAACTCTGTTAAGAAATATTTTTTTTCATAAAAAATAGTATTTTTTAAAAATGACAAATTAAAAAAAAAAAAAGCAGCAAAAAGCGTTTGTGTTTAAATTTTTTTAAAGAACCCGGCCGGGACCCCAAATGCAGTGCCATTGCATTGCGAAGAGATGAGCCGATCTAATCTAAGGATTTATTTTTCAAAATCTGAAAATAGTTGGCAGTGAGGCGCCCTTTCCTTTCCTTTGCATTTATTCAAATAAATAAATGAGAAATATAGAGAAGTGAAGGCGGAAGAGTGAGAGAGTAGAGAGGATGATGGTTGATACGAAATTTGCGTCGTTATTGGAGAATTTGAAGGTACAGGATCCATGGCTTCCCCCAAAAACATGGGAATCGATTCCCTCTGAGAGTGGACTTCGCTCTTCTCCTAAATCAAACCAACCTCTCTGTCACCTCTCCACTCTCTCTGTAAGTTCCTCTCCCAACCTAACCTCTTTACTTCAATGCATTCATTCTCCCATACAATAAAACCTAGTCAATTACTGTCTCAGGGTTCGCTTTTTCTTCACTGTCAATCAATGCATTTTGAACTCACATGTTTCGTAAGCAACTAACTGTGCTTAATTTGATAATTCCAAAATTTGTCCCCAGGAATCAAGTTTGGTGAGGTTGGCAATGAATGCTATGCAAGGTGCAAAATCATCCCTTGTTAGTATTCAAAACATATCTAGCACATTTTGTTCTGATCCAGCTGACAGGACCTTCCTCCAGATTCCTAACCTCTGGAATCGTGCTTCCAGCACTCGTTCTTTGGGAAATTTACTTAAATCTATAGGCTGCACTGGCTCTCTAGTCTTTCTTCTCCGTGCATTTGTAGATTATTTTACAAATATGAATGTGGACGACGGTTTTGGACAGAGTCATGATAATGCTGATGTTTGCCAAAGTCAGATTCATCAAGAGGACAGAGTGAGAGCACAAGAGTTCCCTCCCTTTACTCTTGTTAATCAAGCCTTTGCTGTTGCTGTGGGAAAAGTCTTGGAAGGGTACATCTGTGGATTGGACACAATTCATGCATCTGTAGTTTTCAGGCGTTCATCAAAAGATATGGATTTGCCTGTGCCCGGCTGTTTGAAGAATGTAGTGCATTCTGAAATTACACTACTTGAGTTTTACCTGCATACAAAAGAACTAATGACTCAGATTGAAGCCCTTGCAAGTGTATGTAACCTACAAAAGTGGGCTCGTTGCTTTTCAGATACTGCTTTCGAGGACCTGATTACCGAAGCTACTTCTGAATTTCGTAACTTCTGCAGAGGGGGGAATTTATTGACATTTTTATTTGGACAATTACAGGTTAGTTTATTTGAATGTGAACCTATTGTTAGAATATATGGAAAATATCAAATATTCTCTTGAGTATATCGTATAATATTTAGAGTTTAGAGTATTTAATTATTATTATTATTATTAATTTAATAATAATTAAATAATATTAAAGAAACATAATATCATAACTTTATAATTCTAAAAATTAAAAATAAAACAATTTTATAGGTTTTTAACATTCAAAGCACACATGAAAGTTCAAATCAACGCTTATAGGATGACCTTATTGAAGGAAAACTGAATATTATTTGATGATTTTTCAACGCAAGTACAAATCCTTGCTTATAGGCTAAACTTGTTAAAGGAAAGATGGAAAATATGAATAGGTTTAGCCCATAAATTTTGGGAAAAATGAAAAATACGAAAGATAAAATCCATAAAATATGGATTCAGCTTCAATGTGAATGGATATCACGTGGTTTTTTTCCCCACAATAATCTGCTCAGCTTTTTTGTATTATGGTTTGGCCTGTGGAAGAAGGATGGGAAAAGTAAACAGACAACAATAAGGAAATAGAAAAAAATATAATGTTTGTCTCCTTTTAACCTTTCTTTTCTCATTTGATTATTTTTCTCTTTTAAAAAAAATAGTAAAGCATTGATTTAAATATATAGAACCAGTATTCAGTTAGATTTAATCTTAGAATCTGATCTATATTCTATGCATTGGATTGGGACTAGGAATTGCCTTCAAGCCCAAAAGAAAGAATCTACAATATGATTTTAGAAGGGGATAAAGAAAGATGAGTTTGGGTTTTTACAATAAGTAATGGATTGCAAAATATCTTATGAGGGATGACTGGAAGGTTGTTGGCTTTTCTTGTTTCATTTTTCTTTTCTAGTGTTAAAGCAAGATTGAACGGGAGTTATAGACTTATAGCATCTAGAGAGATTATAACAAACGCAATTTTGAACTGGAGAGGTGATAGGCTAGTGGACCTTAGAATTGTCACTTAGTTATTTTCTTTTTTGAATGCTTCCTTTGCAAATTAAGAAAACTTTGTGAGGGGGAAGGGGCTTCCTTCCTGGACATTTTACTTGTTTGTTACAATGCAACAATTGGATTATATCTGTAATAGATATTGCCCTTTTACATAATTTTTCTTTATTTAAATTTCTTCTAATCTATTCAGCTCTCTGCAATTTAGGTTGCTGATCCTGCTCATTGCACTCTGCTCAAGTTTCTTTTTATTCAATCTTGTGAACCATATTGTGGGTTCATTAGATCGTGGATTTTCAAAGCAGAAATACATGACCCTTATAAGGAGTTTGTCGTAGAAAATATGGACCAATTACCTCCTAAGTTGCATGTTAAAGCTGGCAACTCTGTTGACTTTCCGTTAGCAAATGTCAAGGTAATTCTTTCCAGTGCTGGCTGCATGCAGTTTTCATATGCATCATAACTTTGTATTGCCTTGTTATATTGATTCTCATAGTGGGACTTCCTAACATCAGGTGCGAGATGGAGTTTCCATTCCTGGATTTCTCAAAGACTTATTGGTTCCACTTGTTAGAGCTGGTCAGCAGCTTCAAGTACTGTTGAAATTGCTTGAAATGTGCATTCATGTTACTGCTGGAGAACACAGTTGTGATGACTTTCTACCCTGCTGGAGTGGCTTTTCAAGCAATAGTCTGTCTTATTCTTCTCCGTTGGCTTTCAGCAAAGATGTTATAGAAGCTATGGTGCTTGCTAGAGAAAATTATTATAAAAGGATGAATGAAAAAATTGAAAGCTTTTTGAGCAGCTTAGAAGTTAGATATCAGCAGGTGGTCATACTCCATAGTTTTGGTTCCATGTACATGTGCACTTTTTTACTTCTATTTACTTCCAATTATTTTGCAATAACAAAATAGTGCATTTGCAAGATAAAGAGATTTAAGTTGTTTGGTTTGAGAAAATGTTTTCTATTTTCATTATTTGTTTTCACTTTTAATTACAAAATGCTAACTTGTTTTGTTTTCAAATTTTTTTCAAAAAGTTTGTATAGAAAACAGTGAAAACAATAAAATGTTATTTTTGCTGTCTTCTATATAAATTATAAATACAAGAAATAAAATGAAAACAATGTGGCATTTTGTAATTAAAATTGAAAAGGGAAATATTTTCTCAAACTAAAGCCCAATGTACCAATAAGAAACCAAGAATGCTTGAAGAAATATTGAAAAGGCATCTAATTCTTCCAAAACCTGCAAGGAAACCCACTTAAACATATTAATTGAACACTATAATCAAGGGGAAAAAATTCTTGGATTATTTTCTGACCAAATGCATCAAATTGTTGCTTTGAAATCACACCTTTGGCAACGTATTTCTCAGCTTAATTTTGGATAAATTATCCTTAAAACTTTCTGCTTCTGATATTTTAAGAGATACTACAATTTGTCTTGTACCTTCACCAAATATCTTGTGCTTTTGGGGAGAGTGGTTTTTCATCATTATCCCATTTGCATCAATGATCTTGTTATATCTTTATTTTGGTCTACAATTGGAAGGGCCACTTGGAAAAAAAGAGCATAGGAAGTATAAAATAAGATAGAGGCAGGGAATAAGACTACTTTTCCCATAGTGAGCAGTGCTTATTTCTTTACCATTCTTCCTTCTTATGCATGAACATTTTCCTTTTGCAGGTTGCTATATGTGCTTCAGTACCTTCTTTTGATAATGGTGGAGGTACTTTAGACAAAGTTGGCCAGATCATGTCGGAAAACGAATTTGTTGGTTGTCCAACAGCAGATAAAAGAAGTTTAAATATGTAATCTCTTATTCCCCTCATTCTACAATCTTCCATTCCCCGAAATGTGTGATCATGAAGATGCAAGTAGAGAGAAACATGTTTCCTTTTGTTTTTTGCTTGACATCTTAGGTTTTTCCCTGACAACTTTATTTCCCTTTGTTATTGCTTCATTGATGTTTTATAGATATTCTCAGGGGCATTGATAATTTAGGCTCTGATGTCTCAAGCACTGTAGATGAGTTCTCTTTGCTGGAAGATATGTGTGGTTTATCTGAAAGTTCATCATTAAACAGCTCTGAGGAGCAATTGGATTGTGATCAGCTTAGTGGATGGTCTTGTCCAGTAGCTGGGCAACAAAATCATTTATCTGCTTTAACCTTCTTGAAGAGTACTACCTTAAATAATAAAATACAAAATTCCTGTCATGATGAAAACTGTGGCAGTGATTTGCATGGAATCTGTGCTATAATGGATTCTACTGATCATTTGGTGAAGTCCTCCCCTGAGGGAATGGTATCGAGTCACATGTCTAATCCTCTAAATCTTGGGAATTCAAGCTATTTGTGTCAAGTCAATAGTCAATTTAGAGAGAGTTTGATTGACAGTTGTTCAGCAATGGGTCGCTTGTTGAAAAAATCATTTGATAATGGTGGAACTTTTGAGCCAAAGGTGACTGAAAAGCACCTGGGATCCCTGAGCTATTCTATGTTATGCCATGATGTTATTACTGTCAGTGATACTTTGAGTGGGAAGACCACAAATGAAGATCAACCTGACAATGATACACTCACTTCATATTTGTACGGTTTCCAACCACGGAAATATGGTCATCAGTGTAATCATCCCATCATTAATCCCCTTAGCGTGAACCCTATGTTGACAAGAAATTCAGTTCTTCACCCGAGGGGTAGGAATGGGGAAAAATACAAGGCTAATCATGAACAACATTTGCCTTACTTTAATTTTTCTACTGTAGAGGACCCATGTAAGGTTTATATGGACAAACTGCCCACCAACTCTAGATGTAGAAGTGCATCTTCATTTGCACCAGATGGTAATGTGTCTACTCGTGATGATAAGAATAATGAACATGGAGAAATTGGTTATGGTAGAGAGGATCGGTTGGTTGATGTACCCAAATTATGTTTTGATGCTTCACTGGAGTTGATGGAGCATAAATCTTTAACATCTGTATCTGGGGGAAGCAGCTGGGAAAGATTGTTGAGTAGTTTTGGAAAAACTGTCAATAATGACGATACTCAAAAACAAACTTTGTTGTCAACATTTGAGATGCCACTTGATATTATAATTGACAAGTGCTTACTGCAGGAAATCATGCTTCAGTATCCTTATCTTTATGTTTATTCTGGTAAACTGATTAATTAGTTTATTCTTTTTTTCAATTTATTCTTATTGCATCTATTTCTCTGTGTAATACTTAGATTAAACTAGTTTGAATTTATCTTGAATACCCAGTTCAGTAAAGAAGTCTAAATCTAGTCTTTTCAATCCCATCTTACCATTTGTCAGTAGTATCATTTTCTGTAAAAATGGATCAATGCAAACCCAATTGGCTTCTTTACTGATGAAGTTAATATATGGCAAACTACTAGAACACAAAAGAGTTATAAGGGATTTTTATTATTTGGCAATTGGACCTGTTGAGTGGGTTACTAATTATCTGATAAAGAAGCCAAAAACCATAAAGGAAGTCTAAATGTTACTAAATTTATTTGAGTATTTTAAAATGTGAGAATGCTTGATTATGGTACTTCAATATTTCTTCCACAAAAACAAACAGACCTTGTCCCTTAAGGTGAGACATGCTACATGGATCAATTGATGCTATTTAGAATCTTCTCTATAGTGATTAATGTGTTTCAAGTATTGTTGTCCTACCAAGATGCAAATTTTGCAGCAAAATTGTTTAAAATATGTTGAAGTGGATATCACTTATTAGATGTCCATGTTATAAGTTTTATATGTAAAAATTGACAGATGAAACAACGTGGAATAATTGTTATACTGTCAGTTCTTGTAATCACAGATTGTGATGGTAGATTAGATAACATGATTTGAGTACATGATGAATTAGTTTGCAGGTCTTTGATGACAGTTCTTTGTGTTTTAAGATGAAAATTTGTTGGATCTGTTTAATTGATACATGGCAACTTATATGAATTTTAATAGGTAAATACTAAAAGTGCCATAAAGGCATTGCTTAAGGAATTAAAAGTGAAAGATTTTTTTTTATTAAACAGTGTTATTAGTGTTCTCAGCAGGATTTCCAATAAAAAAAAATTCTATTTGTTCATTTTCAAGGCATTGGTTAGCAAGACCCTTGTTAATAATTTCTCGTATGATATCTTTTCAGGATTCTATGTGGTGTTTTGTATCTTTTTTCATTTTTATCATATTCCAAAATTGATGAGTTTAGATGCTCAATATATTGCTTTTAGGAAATCATTCTGTACTAGTTTTGCTTGTCCTTAAAGATGTCAGATACAATTATGTCAGCAAGCTAGCCATCAATGTGCTTGAGGAAGCATTTAAGTTGCAAGAACATCTTTTGGCACTACGGCGGTATCATTTTATGGAGTTAGCAGATTGGGCAGATTTGTTTATCTTGTCTTTATGGCATCATGTAATCCTAAATTCTGATTCCCAATGACGTGTATAACATTTTATACTAATAGCCATGAGTCTGACTATTGTCTATAAATACTGCACATTGACTCATTCTTTGGTTTACTTGAAATCACAGAAGTGGTCTGTTACAGAAGCAAATGAGAGACTTTCAGAAATTCAAGGTCTGCTTGAGTTGTCAATTCAGAAGTCTTCTTGTGAACAAGATACTCACAAGGATAGGTTGTTTGTCTACATGAAAGGACATGGGAAATTGCCTCTTTCTGCATCTGCTATTGGTATATCCATACTATAGAAAGGGGATTCCTCAGTTGGCACCCATTTTTTACTTTAGGAAGGCCCAGTATTCTATTTTCACAATAATGGAAAAGAAGAAAATAATTATTTCAAGTTAACAACCTTGATTAGCTTTTTTTTTCTTTTTTTTTTTTTAATATTGCAGTTGTTGTTATTTATACTTTTCAGTTTCATTACAAGTTTGATAAGCTCACCCCACCCGCTCCCTTCACCAATTATCCTCTCTTTGGGGGTGTTGAAATGTGGATCAAGAAAGTATGCTAAAGTAATGAATTTGTAAATAATGGCAGGTGTCCGTTCTTTTGATTTCTTAGGACTGGGTTACCATGTGGACTGGCCACTCAGTATTGTTTTAACTCCTGCTGCATTGAAAATATATGCTGATATATTCAGCTTTTTGATACAAGTGAAGCTTGCCATTTTTTCATTGACAAATGTATGGTGCTCGTTAAAGGTGTGATTTCTTGAATTTATAGAAAGTTTGCACTTACATTCTAAATTATACAGTTCTATATCCCAATTTTGCTTCTGTTGCTCAGAATTACTTAAATTCAGGATTTCCAAAAGAATCTAAGGACTTTTGGTTGTGTAAACTGTTATGGAACTTATTTTCTTTCAATTTTGGTGAACAGGATTTGGTGCATACAACCAAAAAAGATCTAAATTCTGAAGTACACCGACTTGAGACAGGGCATCTTAATATATTGATGAAGACGAGGTACTGAAAGTTGTTTCATTTCTGAATGCATGGATGCATTTTTAATATTTGATGTAATGGGTCTTTCTCAGATTATGTTGCTATTCTCATGGATGGGAAGGACTTTGGAGGTCTAGATCATCTGGTCTGGATGGGGTCTAAGATATACAGCAGTTAGCAAATTTTTTTCCATTAACTATGAAGGGATACTTAATGAGAACCAGCTTAAATAGTTCTTTGAATAAATTTTAAATATTGAAGATGAACTTATTTTATATTGATGTTTGTACTTCTAAGCATCCTTTGTTCTACTTTCAATGACAGGCACCAGATCAGCCACTTTGTATCTACTTTGCAGCAGTATGTAGAATCACAGTTATCTCATGTGTCATGGTTCAGGTTCCTTCATTCCCTTGAGCATAAGGTTTGAGACCAACGACTCTAATTGGTATAGCTATTTAGTTAACATTCTCTGGGCATATTTTTCGTCAACTCAAAGTATAATTTTTTTTTTCAGTTAAAAAAATCATTTGTTTTGTAACTGATTATGTATTGCATGTGTTTTAGAAAATTTCATTTCAATGTCCTCTTTTCAAATCTTTCTAGTTTTCAAGCACATGATATTAATTGTGATTGTTTAGTTGAAATGTAAGTTTGATCTTCTCTTACTAGTTAATACCTTTTGGATAACTTTGCCAGTTACATGTATACGGGAATTGGGAACCCTAACAGGCAATTTCATATCTTCTCTGTTTTCCATTTTTTGGTTCCTAAAAGGGGTAATGTTTATGCTTTGGCATAACATAAAGGAAATTTGGAAATACTTTATGCGTTTAAGAGGTTTATGTAGGAACTTGTAAACAAATTTTAGAGTCATCAAGCAGTATCTCCATCATAACTCTTAAATGTTGTAGAAATAAAAAATATTTCCACCGCACATAAAGGGTTATAGAAAGATGAAGTCTGTTGATCTGGATTACCATATCTTCCTTCTACCTTGCCAAATTTTCAATTTCATAGCTTTCTAGTATATGATAACTTTGATAGCTAGATCTTATCTATATGACTTTGTAATTCAATAACTTCAGAAATATTTGGATATTCCCACCATTTATCATGCAGGTGAAAGATATGATGGATCTTGAATCAGTGCACATGGAATATCTTGCTGATTCGTTATGCATGTAAGTTTACATCTGTTTGTTGATTAATATTTATAGGGACAGTTATTAGAAAAGTCAATTTAGGGGAAAATTTTCGGCTAATAGTGAATAGTAATACTTAAGGTAAAATTTCAATTATTAATTCTGTCCAGTCCGATCTCTTCTATATTAAATTTCTACCAAGTTAATATTATCTTGGAAGTCAGTAATGCATATTTTGGTGCCACATGCGATGTCTACTGGTCAATGGATCTCAATGTGTGGTCAAGTGCTTGGTCATTGTAGGACTATCCATCTTGTAATATGGTAAAGCAGATGGATATAACTTAAATATTTTCATTTAAAATGGAACTAGTTTTTCCTAAGCTATCCTGTCTCATCATTAATGTTTATTTTTCTATACACAAAAAACTTTGTCTGTAAGCTTAAATATGCATTTGCCATGTAGGCCTGCCTAATTGGTTAGGCTTAGTAGACAATAATATTGGCATGATAGTTGAGTTTATTTCTTGTTGCCTCCATAACTAAATCAAGAGTCTTATAAAAGTCTAAAAGAATTTCACCCTCGAATATTAAGGCACCCAAAAGGATGGGGGTTGCTGCTTTCTCATTTCTTGAAATATCTCACCTGTGATGAATTGCTTTCTAAAACCAATGATATTTCATTTTAACAATTTAGGGATGAAGCCGGCTTCCATGAGTTTAATATTTGGGGAGTGACCAAATTTATGATGATTTCGCAAAATGTTAGCAACACATTCTTTATAATCGGGTGAATTTCATGTGGGTTCCACCTGAAAGCCCATTTCTTTTATGAAACTTGCATGAAATTCATTCAATAAGAGAGGTTGGGAAGAATGTTGCTAGCATTTGCCCATTAGGTCCTGAAGTAACACTTGCTCCATCTGTAATACTAATCCATTTTTCTTCACCTATCTTCCAAGAACCATCGAAGGGTTTCTTAAATATTGACAATTTAAACATGTTGCAACTTGTAATGAAGTTTTTCAGCAAATCCATGCTCAAAAAAGGCCAGGCAACAACTTATCACCCTGCTTCTCATTATTATTGGCACTTAGCACTGTGGCAGCTGCTTAAAAGAAGTGGTTTGTGTTGCTCTTTTTTTCAAAGCCAGCAGATTAGGGGGAAGTAATTGTAAAGGGGAAACAGGATGGCAAAAATATGTTAGATTTCCATCCATATTTAAATGGTTAATGCTTTCACATTAAATTAATTTTTGGTTTAATATAAAAAGAATGTTAAGTGTATAGAAATTTGCTCGCCATTTTTACACTGGTGATCAGCTTGTATTATGTGATGATTGGGTATATTAATTGTTAATGTAAACTAATCACCACTTAATGCATGCCGATGACTAGTGTAAAAGTAGTGTGCAAATTGTGGTGTATAAATAACGTAACTGTTGGTGTAATGTTTCAAACTTGTATTCATTTGGTGATACTTATAAGTTATAACCCTTAAGTTCACACGGTGAACAGTTTCTGATTCTGATAATCAATGTTTTGTTTTATGTGTTTGCGTATATATTTGTTTCAGATGTTTCCTGTCTGACGAAACAAAGGCAGTTGGCAGCATCATTGAGAGCATTTTGCAGTGTGCACTTGATTTCCGATCTTGCATTACAATTGGGGCATGGGATTTTGGAAGTGATCCGGAAGATTTGTTCGGCAAACTTTCTAGGATCAATATATCCCAGGTAAACCAGGAAAAATTTCTTGAATCTATGCATTACTTATCCGATAATATATCCCAGATACATTTATGCTTTAGTAAACATAATTGAATGAAAATGCCTTGTGTAGGCTGTTTGTTATTTTAAAAAGATTTCGGCCATCTTGGCATTTTATATATATTTAGAGTGGTTATCTTAATCCCCATAGGAATGTCGGCGTATAATGTATGGCAATATACATACTTACCTTTATTCGAAAGGGTCCTTCTCAATATTCTCTTGGGTCTGATGCCCTCAAAATAATTTAATCTTTGCCTAAATGTCTCTTGATAACATCCACACATTAGATAGGATATACTGTCTGGGTTCGTATTTATCTGCTGTTTGAATTTATTTGCAGGTGCTTTCTATAAAACAGAAGTTTGATAGAAGTCTAAAAGAATTGCACATATGCTATATTAAGGAACCTAAACATCGGAATTTTGGGCTTTCTCGTTTCTGGGAATATCTCAACTATAATGAATATTATTCAAATGTCAGCAATGAGACGGGGTACTATACTGTCTGAAAGTTGCCAGCTTTGACAGATCAACATTGGTGTATGGCTGGGTTTTCTTGATTGGAAGATATTAGCATAGGAGAACAATTGAATGTGGTAGAAGTGCCTTTGGGCGGTTTTGGCAATTCATGCGTGCTAGAAATATCTCAATTGATTTTATCTTTGATGAGGGAAATTGCACAATGAAAAAACAAAAATAGTCGCTGTATCTTCGTGTTTCCCAAGGATACAAATATACAAATGTTATGATTTATTTTGTAAAAAAAAGAAAAGATAAAATGTTTTGAGTGACAAGATTCTCTGTAGACTACACATTATTCATGTTTCATTGGTTTAAGCTTTTAAAAATAAGTCATTTTAAAAATATAGAAAAAAAAATAGTTATTTTTTGTTAGAGATCGAATGAAATATAGTTATTTTTTGTTTGGTTTTAATTACAAAAACATTTTTTATTTTAAAATATAGTTATAATTATATTTTTTAAAAGAAAGCTATTCAAAACTTGTTAAAAGATTTTCAAGTTTAATTTTAAAAGTTTCTTTTCATCAAAATTATAAATGCCTGATATCATGCATATATTTAGAAAATCTTGTTAATATTTAGGAGATCATGTAAATATGCAGGAAATCATATAAATATTTAGAAGATGATATGAAATCAAATAAATGATTAGGGAATACTTCTGGTGCATGCGCGATAGAGCTATCAAGGAGAGTTGAGACGAAAATAGAACATTGGTTACATGGGATGATATTTGACACCCAAAATTTACAGATATGCAAATCTCACCTCTTATTTCTCTTTATCTCTTTCATCTTGTAATATCACATCATGAACTATATCAATCATTCGTCTTTTATCTCTTCTTATCCCTCATACTTAGAAGGGTGTCCAAGAATATTTTTGCTTGGTGATAATAATATATAAAACAGATAGTTTAGGTAGCAGACTCACGAGGCCTCTTTTGTTGACTAGGTGATTAGAAAGAAAAGGCAAGAGTGAAAAATAGTAACAGGAGATATCATATATTAATTTATATAACTTTTATACTGTATAAATTATTGGTAAGATGGGGTGGGTGGAAAGTGAAAAGTGATAAGCAAAGCAGGAAAACATGAAGATGAAGATGAAGCATAACTGGTGGCAGATCCTGATAGTAATAATGATATTTGTGTTGGGGTTGGCATGTTGTGTGGCGGAGGATGAATTGTGTGGTGTGGAAAGGAGGGAAGAGTACGAGTATGGAAGAATCATTGATATAAGTCACAGGTACCATCCTGATATGCCAGCCTGGGAATCAAAGGATAGTCTTGGACAGTTCGTGTGGCTTACAAGAAGCATGGCCAATGGCTCTATCGCCAACTTCTCCCAATTCAAACTCCCCGCTCACAGTGGCACTCATGTCGACGCTCCTGCACACGTTTTCGATCATTACTTCCATGCTGGCTACGATGTCGACTCCCTCGACTTACAACTCCTCAATGGTAATTCCTACCCTAAACACAAACATCACCACTTCAATTTTAATTTCATACTATTTCTCTATGCTCATGTTTTATCATGTAGGTCCCTCACTATTAGTTGATGTTCCACGAGATACAAACATTAGCGGTATGCAAGATATTTCTCTATTTACTATCTTTCTTTTTGCAACTAATAGCATCCAAAAATTATGATCATCGGGACGTTGTCAACATATTAGGGTTATTTTCTCGGTGACAAGTCACGAGTGATAACCAATAAAAACAGTATTAGAGTTACTCGTTGAATTCAATAACAATCACTAAACCATAACTATACATACTAATAATAATAATAATAATAATAATAATAAATATAATATAAAATAATTTTTGTTAAATAAAAAGTTAGGTATTTTATTTGAAAAGAATATTGTTATGATAAAAATCAAGTCTCATATCCTTAAAATAAGAAGAAAAATAAAAATTTATAAAATGCAGACATATTTCATTAATTAAAAACATTTTAGATGATGATTAAAAGTAAAGTCAGAATTTAAGTTCCAAGAGAATAATATCTAAAATTGTGTTTTTAAATATCCCAATAAAAACAATAAAAAAATATTCCTCTTTTTATAAAGTATATATCCTCTTAAATTACCACTCTAGTTGTTTTCTAGCCTATACGCTCTTCGACTTACTACATATCATAGCTTGTTAAAGTAAAATGGATGAAGAAATTAGGACAAATTTTTTTTTAGTAAATATTGATTAAATGAAAATGTTTTTTTTTATTTTCCAGCTGATGTTATGAAGTCATTGAATATTCCGAGGGGCGTACGTCG